GTCAGCCATCTACCCATACTGCTGGGGACTCACTTTCAGGGAGCTGATAGCTGATAGCAAGTCTATTCTGCTGTGATCACAACACCTTTGGGAACCATACTACATCAACACAAATATTGGGCCCACCCACAGGAGGCCTCTTGAGGCTGGCTACCTGGTCGCAGCTATAATATATGTCCCACAACGTTGGGACTCTCTTCCGAGGAGGCCTGTTAAGACCTACTACCCGTCAGTGAGTCTACTGCCCGAACTACTAAGGCCAACCACCTGAGGCAAGCTGGCCTAAAGAGCCCTTTTTAGGGGCTGCTCGTCAGGGAAGCCTGCTGAGGCCTACTACTTGACAGTGCACCCTTCGTTGGCAGATAAGCTATTTACACAGCACCTACAGTATTCTGGTTCCTAACCACATTGCCCATGGCAGTGTACTCAGCAAAAACGCAACACCCTTTAAGCAAGGGGAGTACAACATACGCCACCCTGCCTCCATGGAGGCCCCAGATTCGGGGGCCTACCATCTATACGCATGGGCGTCAGCTCACGGCAATGCTTCAAGGGAGCACACTTCGAAAACCAAAATGAAGTGAAGGTTAGAACTTTCCGCTCAACCCGAGCCATAGGGGTGTGAGGTAGAATGATGCAGAGCTGAAAGTGGAGTACTCAGAACTACCCTGTATCAACAGGAGAGTACCAACCACCTGCCCCTGAAAATTCAACAGGGAGCGGTCCTGCCAGTGGCTCTAGAGGTGACAGGAATTTTCTGAATTTTCCAACCACCGCTTCCAATTTTCCAACTAAAGTTCAGAGGGCGAAACCGGCGAATCGAGGAGAAAGCCCTTCTCTTTCTCCCCGATGTCGGCCTGGTTCAGCCACAGGCGTCTCTCCATGGCCGCCATCGACCGGCCAATCACGGCAGCAGTTTATTTAGTGGCCCGGAGAGCTAGATCTGTGGTGCGGCGCAGCTCAGCAACCGCCTCAGGGGACAGCCCCGCTCTGATCTCAGTATGGAGATCGGGAAGAAATGGAAGGCTCACCTGAGCTGATGGTTTATGACCGGGGAGAAACCGATCGTCAAGTCTACCGCGAGCGATTTCTCCCCCAGCGCTCCGCCACGGCAGCTGCAGCCTGTGCACGGCGCGTTCCATAACATCCACCAGCTCAGCATACCAGGGGCAGGGTGGCTGAGAGGATTCAGGATCTATCCGATTATCACCACCCTCATCAGCCATCTCCTGGTCGTCCGGAAGAGCACTCGGTGCGGGACTAGGAGGAGAAAAATCATCCACCTGCAGCTCAACCTCGTCGGCCGCCGAATCGTCTGAGAGGATTACACCCCTCTCAAGGCGATCGGCAAGCTCCATCTGAGAAACCCATGATGCACGTCGCCGCTCTGCCCAGGGCCGTTTGAAGGAATTTGGGGGCCCCAAGCAAAATGGACATGGAGGATAAACGAGGATTAAATACGATAAACAGTGATTCTGGAACTCCTTAAACCGTTAAAAAACATATTACAGTATGTAACGTTAACCATATTCCGTCCGTTCGAAAAAAAAATTTGCACTAACTGTTCGTTACAAGCAGCATTTGCCGTCAGGCAGGTAGCTAACATAAACATATTTTTGCTAGCCTAATGTTACCTGCTGCAAAATTACACCATTTGTACAAGACAAGTAGAGCTATTTTTATGCAGTGTAATTTATTACTTTACCACTATCTGCAGGGCAGGACTTAGGGGGCTGGGGGCCCCTGGGCTTGAGTTTATGTTTGGGCCCTATACGCTACAAACATCATTATGGAGTAGCACAAATTACACAAAAATGTAAATATGCTTTGAGGTTCCTACAATTAATATGTGCCTATAGTCAAAGTTTAGTGGTAGGCTAATTTTAAATAGTCAATATAATACAATATAATGCAGGATGTGGTCTCTAGGTTGAGATAAGATCAAAACTCTAATAATAAAGCCAAGAGAAAACAGTATTTTTTTATTCATTGTCATAGCTATCTGACAGATTCTTAAATTTAGTCAACAAATTCAATCAGAATGCAAAGACACGGTGGCTTATTATGACCAAATAAAAGGAAGTCGGTATCAATAAAATCCATTTTTGGATTGACACAGGCTGTTTAGACATGGCATGTATGGATTTACACAGCAAATTATAATTCCATAAATTATGTTAAGAGATTAATGTTTTAAATGTAAAAATTTGAATGTAGAAATATGAAATGATTGAGAAAAATTAACTATGAAACCATGTTACCTATCAAACTAACACCGCCAGTAGGTGGCGGCAAGTCTCCATCTTAATGAGGGAGTTGGATCCTTTATTCAACCGATTCGTTCAAAAATCCTAATTCGTTTAACCTAGCAAACGACTGTATGTATGAATGGGTAGCCTAATTGAATCATTTACTTGTCTGATTCAGTCAAAAATGTAGATTTTTTGAGGAACAAAACACGTGTTAGCGGTTCAGCTGTTTGTTCTGTTTTCTTTGATTGAACTGATGTCACATTTGCGATTGTGCAGATGTTCGGAAAATCAGCGCTCTTGCTGGTGTGATAACTCACATATCATAGGCTCGTGTTTTAAATACATTAAACGGGAACTCGTTAGGCCTAAATGTTTTCTTTGTTTTTTTTATAATTTTGATGACATATTCCTATATTGTGATGGCAGTGGAGAGAGCGCTCAAAATTCTCCAGAGCACACAATTTTGTGAAAAAAATAAATAGAAATTATCATTCTCTTTAAAGCAACGAGACGTGAACATATGAGAATGTATCAAGATGTTTCTAAATGTGCGCTCTTTTGGACTAAAAGCCCAATTGAAGCTGTTTAAAGTAGCCGACCGCAATGGAGCAGATGCAGATCAACACGCGTGTTATTCTTTGTGATAAATATCAGGTTGCGCCGTTTGATTATAGCCTCGAAGCTCTCAGTCGGAGGATATTAAGGCCCGGGTATTTTATTCCGTGCTCCCCTCCGTCTTTCAAACTATAGCCTTTCTACTCCGTGAGTGCGGAAAGACGCGTTCGGCGCGTGCGCGCGCACTATAGTGTGTTGGATTTTGTTTTCAAGCGCTCAAGTCACTACTTTGGGCTGATTATAGCCCTCGCTTGCACATGGCCACTGGCCAGACAGTGGAAATACGCCAAATAATTTCGGGATATCTGGCATACAAGTTTGACTGAACAAAACAAACGAAAACGGGTAAGGGAGGGGGCCCCCTACTGGGCGGGGCCCATGGGCTGCAGCCCAGTCAAGCCCAATGGTAAGTCCGGCCTTGACTATCTGGTATTTTTCTTAACCTTCTCTTCCTTTCTCTTCTTTCTTTTCTGGCTTCCTGAAGCATAATTCCGCTTCATGATAACTCCCGAGGAGGTTTGTATTTTGCCGGCAGCAGAGATCGCGTGGTTGGCTGGCTGCTGTCAGCGACTACTGAGGGGGCCCCCTTGAGGGGGATCCCGATAACAGTCTCATTGCACTTTACTGCATTGACTATCAAAGGGGAACTCACAGTTTGTCGTTGCATTTTATTCTTAAACAGTCGTTGTCTGGGGCCCCAGTCCAGCTCGGGGCCCCAAGCAATTGCTTGGTTTGCCTGTCCTGTTCCGACGGGCCTGGCTCTGCCTCAGCATGAGCGGGACCTGAGCCACGAGGTCCAGACGCTGAACCCTCTGCTCTTCTCGAGAAGAGGGCCAGACGAGAGCGGAGCGTTTCCACAGAAAAACGTTCACAATTTGCACAGACAGCTCCCTCGAGAACTGCCTGTGTGTGCTCTTCCCCCAGACAAAAAACGCACAATTCGTGTGTGTCACCCGGCGTCAGATTTCTTGGGCACGGGTCTGCACACTTCAGAAAGCACTCAGCCTTCTTAGTGCATTTCATAATTACCTGATTTTTTTAAGCACTTACAGACAAAACAGTCCCTGAAGACGAAAAGATGAATGTCATGTTTGCAAGGTGCCCTTATATACTTCTAGGTCGCACGTTAATGATTCATGGGCTGTCGCCGGTCAATACGATTGCCGTGATTTGATAGTAATTTCAGACACCTGTCACGCCTGACACCACACTCATTCAACGCAGTGCGAGTTCCCTTTCGAAAGGGAACAGACTGGGCCGTCTGGCCAATCAGAGCAGAGTAGCTTGCAGAAAGGAGGGATTTAGAAAGACTGATTCATCCGATGAGTCATTTGAAATGTGGTGATGTGCAATGTATATTATGAGAAAATGAAAGTGTTTTTTGACCTTTGAAGCATGTAAACCTGTTGTAGGAGACCTCCAAAACAAAATTAGGAACCTTTAAAATAGCATATACTAGATGCACTTTAATGCATTATTTTGTTACACTTAGTTGTTTTTTAATGAATTAAACAGCTTGAAATATGTCTATTTATTTCTCAATTTAATAAGTCATTTACCAATTTCTTTCTTTATTAATTGATGAATTGACAATCGATTCCTTTATTTTAGTTTTTCTTTTCTATTATTCCTCCATAGAATATATTTTGAATATACAAGATATACACTACTGTTCAAAAGTTTGGGATTGGTAAGATTTTTGAATGAGTCTATTATGCTCAGGCTAAATTTATTTGATAAAAAATACAGTAAAACAGTAATATTGTGAAATATTATTGGAATTTAAATTAACTGTTTTCTTTTTTAATATATTTTAAAATGTAATGTATTCATGTGATGGCAAAGCTAAATTTACAGCATCATTAAATCTTCAGAAATCTGTCTTCAGAAATCATTCTAATATGCTGATTTCAGTTGTACAGCTTAATATTTTAAACTGCGAAACAATCTGAATAAAATGATTAATTTCTTTAAAAAACAATCATACTGACCCCAAACTTTTGAATGGTGGTGTATATATATAACAGGTCAGACAAACTAGTTTATCAGACTCTAATAAAGAGAAATGATGTAGTGGCTGATGAGAACCAAGAGTCTTGCTGTTCATTATGGGCTTTTCCCGTCTCTCCACAGCCATCCGCGGCTTCTCTCCACAGCACAAAATCAGCAGTTTTGCAGAGGCTAAAGGTCTGGACCGCATCAATGAGCGCATGCCACCCCGCAAGGATGGGGTCAACCACGTGGGCCAATCCATGGGCAAGATGAACGTGTCGGAGACCAACGGCACCGACGACAACAGTAACATCCAGTGATGAAATGGCTGCCCACTCACCTGCACCTGAGTCCATGCCACCGCCACGACGCATGGCAGGACAATGCCAAACTTGTGATTTAAGGCCTCCTGCTTCCAACAAACACCCAATGACATCACCTACACATCCCTCCCTGCTCCAATGTCCAATTAGAGAACCAAACGATCTTAAATGTGTCACTGAAAAGGGGGAGACTGTTTTCTTGCTGTCAGTTTGCCGCTTGCAATTTTCGAAGCGGATACCTTGCCGACGGCAAGTTTCTGCCTTTTTTTGGGAGTGTTGAATGGGAAGGAGGGGTGGGAGGGGGGGGGTGATATGCCTGTCAAGGGCTGAAAGTGTCTTTATCAGAGAGGGGGCGGTCTCAGTTCCTTTCCGACTCCACCCACAGACCAAGTGGGCGGGGTTTAGGAACTCTCTTAAGCCTGATCCATCCAGTTCGTCGGTGCGGGTGATGAGCCTGTACTGGTTCCATGCACACTTTTTTCCTCTTTTCTTCATGGTCCCATCTCATAATGAAATGATCTCACTGTTGATGATGTTTTGCTACTAGTATTAATAAATATACAAATTTGAAATGACAAAAAAACGAAAAAATGTTTAATGACAAAACCTGTACATTTTATTACTTGCGATGCAATCTTACCTGGGGGGTTTTATTTCTTGATTTGGTTTTTGGTAAGATGCCATGAAGCAGTAGAAGAGCAGAGCGGTTCTGCTTGTCCACTGTAGACACTCGTTCAAAGCAACCATTTGGATGGAGGGAAACCGCAGCGGGAAATCCAGCTCGACCTTTGGCGCCACCTTCCTGATTGTTTCTCACTTGCCTGTATCTCAAGAGAGAGAATGCACATAGTACATTTCGCAAGTCAAATAAATATTATATATAAATATATATATAAATATATTTAAATATACGATTATTAACAATGGTCGAGGACAATGATTTTTAACAGCATCTATGGTACTGAACGCATCAGTGCATGCAACTAAGTTCCTTATTGATATGTGAAATTATAATTGTGATGTGTTTCAATATAGTAGACTTGAATTATTTCCCTTCAAATTATATTTGTAAAGGTCTAGTTTGTTTTTATATCTCTATAAATAGATATGATTTTGTAATCTTTTATTTATTTATTTTTCTTTAAGTTTTTTCATCAATATAATTTTATTTTTGTATAGTTTCTCTGTACAGGCACTGACGCTCTTTCCGAGGTGTTTTTTCGTCATCTTTCTTTCTTTCTTTTGGTTTCGTTCTCTCTGTTCAGTTGGTGTACAGAAGTTGTTCAGTAGTGTGAATGAACATATTACTCAGTGAAAAGCAACATTCAGGCTGCCAAAGCATGATCGCATGGTTTATTCAAATGTAAACTAATTGGACACGAGGAAAATTCAGTGTCTCACGTTGAAGAGGAAAACTATATTATCATTATGACTCTTGATGATCTTCTTATTATTCTTACAATTAAGCTTACAGTTCTTTCATTTCCACTGTTTTCTGATCCTTGTTTGGTCCAGACGTGGTTTATTTCAAAGAAGGAATTTTATGGATTTGTGACTATTTTTCTTGTAATGTTCTCTGGAACTAAGTTTTCGCATTTGACTTCCTAAATGAAAACACATATTGTAAGCATGCCCTATGGGACAAATCACTTTTTTTACTCTTGAATAAAATATGCATGAACTAATCATGTCTTTCCCCTTTTAATGCTGGTTTGAAAAAAATGTCAATGTATTTATGTATTGTTCTCATTTAAGAAAAGCATTTAAGATTGTCGACAGACAATCAAGAACGAAAATGTAATTTTAGATGTAATATTAATGTTAAGAAATGCAAAGACCATAGTATGCATAAGGTTCTTCATAGGAACTGCTAAGTTTCAAACGCTCAACTAATGAGAGCTTTTTTCCATGAGGGCATTCCACCTGTTTCCTGCTATTCTTCCACAGGAAACTTCCACAGGGGCCACAGTAACTTCTCCCTGAAACCAGAGCTCAGCGCCCACTGACACTCACCAATACACACGCTTCTCAGCAGGGCTTTGTAATACTGTGCTCGCCCTCATGTGTTAATATTATACAAAACAGGAAACAGATTTGGACATACTGGTTCATACTTCAGCCAAAATCACTTGCTCAAGAACATTTCCATACAGTTTTTCTGCTTTGTCGTTTTCATACACATTTAATTATTGTATTTATATCCTGATATCTGAGATATATATACGGCTGGTTCTGTGTAGTCGGATGAGAGTGAAACCCATCTGGATTGAGCCATGGAGCTGCTTCTCTTTCTTCTCATTCTCATGATTAGATCTTCATCCATCATTTCAGCAGGTAAGTGTCAGTTTGTGTGTGTGTGTGTGTGTATATATATATATATATTTATGTATCATATACACCGTGACTTTGCCATCATATCAACATTTTGTTGATCCTGGAACAAAACTTTTTGTCTGAAAATGTAGTCCTAACCCTACCCTATGCCCACCCCTAAACCTAATGCAACCCTTAAGTTATCCCTAAAATCAGAGGGAAATGATAGGTGAATAACACTGATGGTTGTAAGTCTAAACTTGACAAACTGTATACTTGCCCCTCAAATCTGATTGGTTGATTGGAATGTTGATCAAGGAACATTGCACTTGGTGAAATTACCACTATATATATATATATACCAATTTACTTACTAAGTAAACTAAAGTATTTGCTTATTTCTTGCTAGTGGCCAAACTTTGATTATATTGTTTATCTTAAATTCAAAGAGTCAATGACCATGTCCACAAAAGCATATAAGCACGTCAGCAAAGTCCACCTTTAGTGCTCCACCTTCATGATCATTTTCTATATATATATGTATATATATTGTTTCTGTTTTTTTAAATGTATGTTTTCGATGGGACCTGCACAGGAAATGACATAAACCTCCTTGCAAGTACGGCACCTCCAAACACAACTGCTTCAACTCCATGGTCTGTAGATTCAAGAACACGTGAGTTATATTGTCAATGAATCTCAGTAACAACATTTTCAATTCAAACAATTGTTTAGATAATAGCAATAGATAAATGTCCAATAACATGCTTTCTAAATACCTGTGATGGATGTACTTTATATGAACCTATTACACATTAAGCACAAGATGTCATTATTTTAGTTAGATTTAGTTTATCATTTCTTGTCTCCATTAGGATAATTTTTTCTTGGGCAATCAAATATTGCTTTAGCATGTTATTTATAAAATGTACAAATCAAATAACTGATATTTATATATACACACACAGTAGTCAACATTTGAAGTGGATCAAAACCTTTCATCAAAGTTACACATGAATTTTGAACAATACCCGTTCTTTAACTTTGATTAACTTTTTTGATCCATGTTGACTACTGTATATTTGTCTGTGGGTACAAAAGTAAGTCCCTACAGTTAAGCCCGTAATGAAAATATGGTATATTATTATTTGGTATGTTGCTCAGTTCTGTTTTTCAGGTTTAAATAAAATGTTGAATTCCAAATTTTTATTATGGTCTCAGACCCTTGTATATTCTCAGTTCACTTGTAAATTATATTTTCCCCTATCTTGATTTAAATGTCTTAATCTTATTTTAGCAGTCCAAACTGAAAAAACAGCGTCTTCCACTTTTTCATCTCAACATGAGAATGTCATAACCAGGCACACCTCGAAAACTGTGAGCACAACCACAGCTCCTTTATCTTCCGGGCACACAGGTAAGGCACAAATATAACTTCAGTTAATGCAAATATACTGTATAGTTTGCACATCAGCTCATTCAGCCCACACATTGAACCCTGTACCTCTGTTTCTCCAGGCAGCACTGATGGATCCAGCCTCTCTTCTTCAAATAGCACATCAGGTAATAATTATTAACCGCTTTTAATTAGAATATTCAGAACATGGGAGAAGATTTTGACTTTTCGTGGTGTTTGTAATCTTGCTTATCTACTAGTAAAGTTCTTTCTTTGAACTGTGACTGTGAGGATATCACTATAAATGTTATGAAAAGTATAAGAAGTGTGTATTCATTACAGGACAGTCCATGATCACCAGCTTTACGTTTACACCACCAAAATCCTACATAGACACAACTCTAAAACCCATCTCATCCCCAGCGGCCAAAACAACAGGTTTACCTCCCTATTCTGGCTCCTTCAAAACACTGTTGATATTTGAAATCACCAAAACAAACACACCCCTACCCAAGAGGACCACACCCCCATCTTGATAGCTCCTCCCCCGAATTCACAAACATGCTATACAACACAGGCACATCCCCCTTATAAGTGGACACAGCCCTTACTGCTGATTGGCTACAAGTGTGTTTTGGCACTCTGATCCACTTTCAACAGCTTTTCTCTGAAATCACTCACTGCACCTTTAATTGTAAAATGAAATGGACATGATATAATTCGTTCAAGAATTTCCAGCAAAAAAAAAATTTCTAAAAACATTTTGCTAACGTTCCCATTAAGTTATAAAAACATTATTTCTCAATGTTCTCTGAACGTTCAAAACATCCAGCTGTTTTTAAAATGCTTAAAAAAAAATCTTGATTATACAAATATTAAAGCTGCAGTCCGTAGCTTTTTTTGGGTTAAAAATGATCCAAAATACATATTTGAGAAAATACATAACCAGCCAGTGTTCAAAACTATCTGCTTGCCTTAGCTCGATTCAAAGCGGTAAGCTTTTAATAATGTTTTTAATTCCAGTGGTACTGGTGGATTTCCGCGGGAGATTCGAGCATGTCTTTGCGTCATTACGTCACATCTGTACACATGAAGAAGGAGTCTCGGCTAGTATAAGCTATATTGCGAGTGAGGATGTTGGAGGTGGAGATTTATAGCCTTTTCTCACAGCACTTGATATAATTAAACTTATCAATTTGATGGCGGATCCAGAAAGGTTCAAACGACAATCACCAGTGACAACAGATTCACCCGCTGTAAAATGCAAAAGACTTCGTTCGGACTTCGGAGTGGCTACAGAAAAAAAGAGACTGCAACCGGACCCATGCGAAAACAAGGATACATATCGGAAGGACGGACATTACATGTGGTCACGCAATGCTGACGTAATTAACATTAACAATTTGAGAACAAAGTATAATTTGCACGGTTTTGCGTGATATGATAACTTATAAGCGATTGTTAGATTTAATCAGCGCGATTTACTGCAATGTCAGAACCAGAACAAAAGTGGATGTTTCTTACTAGTTCAGATTACATTTTCCGGTGAAAATTCTTATGTTGGTCATACTTCCAAA